GTTGATTTGGTGATCATAGTAATGAATTGCTCATCAGTCAGGTTAACATGTGCATTAGAGCCAACAACAGACTTAGATCTGCTCTTACATCTCTTAACCACGTGACTCGGTTTTCCACAATTAAAGAAACTCAAAATCGGAGCATAATTTCTCTGAGATGGTGGTTTTTTTCTAGCAATCAGAGCATATGAGGCCCTTGAGGGACTCCTATTCTTAATTTGGTTCACAACATTGCGGTTTTGATTCTTTAATGGTTTGTGCGTAGGCTTCAAACAGCATAAAATCTCTTCTTTTTTTTGTTAGAAACAACTAAAACTTCATCTTTTTTATCTTGTCTCCTAGCTTCCTCTTCAATTTGGAGGTGAGTGATTAGACTCTCAATTGAAAACTCTTTTGTTTTGTGCCGAAGCAAATTTTTGAAATCTTTCAAACCAGGGGGCAGTTTGTCAATGATAACAGTAATTTGAAGTTGTTCGTTGAAGGGAATACCTTCTGTAATTCTTTCACGAGCAATTTTATGAAGTTTATGGAATCATGCTTCCATAGACCTTTCATCAACCATCTGATACTTTAAATGGCGGCTTACAACATGCTTCTTTGTTCCAACTTCCTCGGCATCATACTTATTTTAAAGAGCTTCCCATACATGTTTATCAGTCTTGTAGTTTTTGTAATAACTATATAGATCATCAGCAAGACTATTTGGAATGTGATTTTTGTAGACATAGTTATTCTCATGTCGTAGGGTTATTTATTTCCTGAGCTAAAAATTACTTGCAGCAAATTCATCAACTTTAGCATTTCCAACTGAATCTACAAAGTTTTTACCATTAGTTTGTTCGGTTGATCTAGAAGTAGCAACATGAATATCCTCAATCATAACGTTGACAACCTTCTTTAAGGCTAGAAAAGAATCATTTTAGCCTGCCAATGTTTGAAGTGAAAACCCTCAAACTTGAACGGTTTGTCAGAATTGAATGTGGGAGAGAAGAGAGAATTTAAAATGCATAATTCTATAGTGAGTTGCAATTGATGGGAACAAACCTATTTACAGCCAAAGATATGACCCAAATAGAGAAAATCGTGGGAGGAAAAAGTGGGAGAGTGGAATCGGCTCAGTCAAAGTAGTCGTTATTCACTTGGTCAATGATTCGCTGTCGCGCACAAGTCAAAAACGAGTTTTAAAGTGTAGTTTAGAGAAGTGACACTCAAATGTCGTATCACAAGGACTCTTGGCAAAATTAACCAACTAAAAAAACAATATAGAGGATTTTATGTTCGATTATGAATACAGGAAAAATAAGTGATTATGAAATATGTTAAAACGAGTCAACCTATTGTTCAAGTTCCGAACTTATCATTGGTAATTATAAATCCAAAAACCTAAGCGGATTCTAATCCCCTTTCGATTACAGTATCAATTAACAAGTGGAATTGACACTATGCAGTTTACACTCCTATTATCCAAATGAAGCAAACAAATTCAACACTCACGAATTAAGCAAACATGATTTAATATATGCAATTTAACGGTAAAGCAACGTTAAACGCGATCCAGATCGAAGAACATAAACCAATCGAAATAAATCAACATGAATATATATAATTCAAATTAAGCATACAAAATATATAGAAGAATATTGAAAGGGAAGAGAATTTGGATTGAAAATATAAAACCTCAAAGTATTAGTGAAAACATGAATCAGGTTAATCCTTGGTGATTAGTTCTCCATAGGTTTGTACAAAGTGTATTCTATAATGAAAATTCAAAACAGATCTACAGTAGCAGAAAATTTTCTAATATAATAAAAGGAAAATTTGGACCCTTATGGGAACTGACCCGAAAATTACAAAAATCGGCGCAAACTAAATATTTTAATTAAGTCTAGAACTTCAACAAGTTATTAGACCCTACTTATCTCCGAATAAACTTTTTACATCAATATAAAACTTGTATCTCTTTCTCTTAGCTTTCCAACGCCTATTATAAAGCGTCAATTCGAATCGCGTAGATCAAGTTGTGGTCTGCACAGTGAACATGTATCAAATAACAGTTTAAGCTGAAAACAAAGTGCAAAAATAAAATAAAGGCAAAAATAAACTTAAATATAAAAACACATTAAAATATTAAAAATCATAAAATAAACTATACATTTTCCTAATTATAATAATAGAAGAAAGTGCATCAAAATGTACTGATCAAATTAGCCCACACTTGAACTTTTGCACTTCGAGCAAAATTATAATTTCAAAATTCAAAATAGAAAAACAAGAGCAAGACAAAACATGAAATTCCAAGGGTTCTCAGGATACAAAGTGTAATCAAAATTCTAAGTCTAAGCTTCAAGAAAGTGACATTACTAAGTAACTCTTTTGTAACTGTCACACCCTCATTTTTCACCCAACATTTCATACCATAGATTCATCATCATCGTCATCCTTTGACATGTGTTGCAGATGAATTAACAAAGATAGGTTTTGATTTCTCTTTAAAAATAAATTAAGGTCTTAAGGAGATTAGGGTTTGAGCTATTAGAAGAATTGGGAATTGAAGAAACCTAAGACAGATTGGGCTTACTGCTGATCATTTGGAAGAGTATAAGTTTCAAAAAGTTTTTTCACCTATGCTTGGTTCAAGGTCTTTCCTGATCAATACGAGGATGTTGAACATTGGAGCATTCGTTTTCCTTTTAATTTGATAGAGATTCAAGGTTATGAGGATAAAGTTCACAAGCTCACAACCAAATCCAGGTCCATGTCAATTTTTGGCTTTTTTTCTTCTTCTTCTTACAACCACTCCAAATTCATTATCTCATGACAAGTTCCTGTTAATTCATGACAAAATGTTGTAACCCCCCTCTCGTTCAAAGTTCATAAAGGATCCTTCATGTTCAAAATCCCAACTTAGGTGTCCATTCCAAATTGCTAATATCAAGTCATGTCTCCATGCAAAAAAATCCAAGGTTTCAATGTCATTCCAATACCAAGTTCAACGACAAGTTTGCAAATATTAGGCTCATTCAAATTTGAATTCAAGATTAAATTCAAGATTAATTTTCCAATTCATTCCCAAGTTTCAAAATTCATCCAAGATTCACATTCCAAGATCATCCCAAAATTTTAAGTCATGACCAAATTACAGGTTTACTTTCAATTTCAATTCATAATTCAAACCATATTTTTCATTCAAGTTCATTTTTTTTCCAATTAAAATCAAATTCCAAGTTCTATTTTCAATTCATTCAAGTCACCACATCCAATTCTTCAAGGATCAATTCTAACCAAACTCGCTTTCATTTTTTTTTCAAATTTTCAATTCAAGTTTCGAGTTCTATACTTTTTTTTATCTTATCCAAAATTGAAGATCATGATTCCAAGTTTATAGAAATTTCTCTCCAAAAGTAAAACTTTAAAAAAGAGCTATTGGCCCATATAATATAGAAATCATTCAATTGCTAAAACAAAAATTCAATACAAACCGAAAATTACAAATCTCAGCCTATGCTAAAAGACAATACGCCGCAACACCATTTCAAACCAAACAACTCATCAGCCAGCTACATAATACCTCACTCACTGCTCCCATGTGGCCCCACCTCTAGCCACAACATATAACGCATGACCCCATAGTTACCACTCCAATCTGCAAATTTTTTCCACCCTGCCATGTTTTTAGGAGTTTATTTTCAGAATACCATCATTTTCACCAAATACACCAAAATGCCACAATTTCAAAAATATTTTTTTTTGGCACAAGTGTTCCGCCCTTCCAATGGGCGGAAGAGGCATATTTTATTGGGTGCCGCCCTTTCAATGGGCGGCAGTGACCAATTATGTTTTTTTTTTCGTTTTAATTCTTTTTATTTATTTATTTATTATATTTAATTAATTATGAAAAATAATTATTATTTTATAAATAATTATTATTAAATTATTAATAATATTTATTAAATTTTAAATAATAATTATGAAATAGATGATAATAATAAAAAATAAACTAGTACATTAAAATAAAATAAAATAAAATTATTTTAAAATAGTACTAATTAAAATAAAATAGTACATTGAAATAGATAATAATAATTATAAAATAAAATAAATGAATTGAAATAAATATTTATTTATTCATGAAATTAAAAATTTTTATCGACCCTTAATTAATTTTGTCCTGGTCGACGTAAGCGTTGGTGGGTTCCACAGGCAGGAGCGTTTACGTTTCTGGTGGACCTTCTACGATCAAGATCAACGTTTGGGGGCTGCGTAGAAGGTCCTGCATCATTGCTAGGGTTCATGAATTCAGCGACCATATCATCACTCAAATCGTCCACAGTTGGTATCGCCGTCGCACTGTCATAGCTTAATCTTGTTCCCTCATTACTCCAACTTGGTAGGTTTAAAGGTGGAATTTTGTTAGTCATGTAGGGGGTGTATGGATGTTGGTCTTGAGATGAATTAAGGGTGAAAGTTTGTGAGGGGTAAAAAGGGACTTGTGGTTGGGGTGTTTGGTAGTTGTGTTCTTGTTGGGTAGGTTGAGAGAATGAGTATTGGTTATATTGGGGGTATGATGATGTTGGGTTTTGTTGTTGGATGTTGAAGGGGGTTGGGTTAAATGATAGGTAAGGTTGATGGTAGTGTTGGCTTGGGGTATAAGGTTGTTGTGTTGGGTTGAAAGGTTGTTGGGTGTTGAATGTTTGTTGTTGGGTGTTAAATATTTGTAGTTGGGTATTAAATATTTGTTGAGGGGTGTTAAATGTTTGTGGTTGGGTGTTACAAGTCATGTAGGGGATGTTTTGGAAGTTTGAAGAAGTTGGTTGGTTACGAGGGTCCCATAAGTATCTATTTTGGGATAGATACAAAATGGTCACAGATCTATACCGATTCATGTATTCCCTATTGGGTTTACATTCGGTATCCATGACATTTCCTTTTAGAATAGTTCGACGACGACTTATCCAGTGTTGACGTTCTTGTCTGTTATGGTCTCTCCAATTATCGAATTTTCATTGGTCGTTCGTTGTACTCTTGTGGTACCTCTCTATGCATGTAGGTGGACCAGGAATGTCTTGTTGAATTCTGAATTGGAGTTTCACCCTATCTGAATGATGCATTTCAACATAAGTGAAACAAAATATGAATGTTGTAGAACTCCACATGTCGCTTTCAGTTGGATCCTCATCTTCAAGTTCAAGATAGGGCCTCCATAGAAACTATAACATAATTAAAAAGGGATTAGAGTAAAAAAAGAGGAAAGTGATAGTAGTATAAGTGTTAGAGACAATACATCATCTTCCTCAAAATGATCGAAGAACGTCTGGTACCCAGGAACACAATGATGCGGGGTTTTTTCGTAATTCATCCCATACGCGGACCACCTATGAAATAAATAGTTAGTAAAAATTATAGATGAAAAGAATATATACATAAACTTTGTATACTTACTTGGTTGCATATGGAAAGTGATATGGATTGGGGTTGATCGGCGCCAGTATGGGCATTATGGACCATCCCCAAGCTTGAATCGAAACGCCACAACCAGCAAAATTATGCACATTTTTCCTTGCGCATCTACACAAATTTTTGTATAGATGCGCTAAGGTAGCAACGCCCCAACTATATCTACTTATTTGAATTAAATCTTCTAATAATGGTAAAAATTGAAGATGGATAGTATTACCATTAGTATCAGAAAATAAAAAATCCGCAAAAAGCAATAATATATAAATTCTAGTTTTATAAATTTTGAGTTCCTCGGGAGACTCATCGGTCAAGTTCAAAGCACCATGAATTCTTTTTAGCCAGATAGTTCTAAGGCTTTGCCCCTTCCTATCACTTCGTTCCAAAGGCACCCCCAATAGTTCTTCCACTAACTCATACTTAACGTTTGTGTCACCCACAACCGCTAACCCATTGACACGGAGACCTAACAACATATGGACATCCTCTAGTGTCACTATGCATTCACCTGTGGGGAAGTGAAAAGTGTGGGTTTCTGATCGTCATCTTTCGCATAAGGCGAGAAGAAATTTGCGATCAATTCCATATGATGTTATCTTAATCACGTGACCGAAACCCGCTTGAATCAAATATGGTTTGATAATTTCATCAGACTCTATGTACTTATGTGAGCGTAGTTTGAAATTTTTTTCATCCTACAAAAAATATTTTAAATAACATTATTAAAATGTAACAACTTAATATTTTAAATCACAACTTAAAAAATATTTTGAATAACTAACATAAAGATTATAATGTTATTTTAAGTAAGACAAATAACATTATAACATTTTAAATAAATTTGTAAATATTAACTTAAATAATATTTTTAATTTGTAAATTTTAAATAACATCATAACCGCGATGATCATCTCCTAAGGTGAGTAAAACCATTTTTGAGACGAGATGGTAGTAGAGTGGCAGCAGAGACTTTTTAAGAGTGGTAGTAGAATTATATAGAGAAGAATTATAATGGGAAGAATTATATAGTAGAGATTTTGTAAGATTGGTATGTAGAGATTTTTTATGAATGGTATTTATAGGAGATAAAGATGGGTAAAAAATAAATTGAGTGTTGGTAAGAATTAAATAGGTGTTGGTAAGAATCCTCTAACATTTATTCTTCTATCTTCAAACATTTATTCAAAAAATTATTCCTACTAGTCATCTTCATTTATTTCTACTACTAATCTTCTATATTCAAACATGTATTTCTTCATACTATTTCATCTTCATCATCTTACATAATGTCTAATAGTCAACAATATATTGTTAATTCTCATTACAATAGGAGTGTTGTTGTATCAGACGAAGTGGGTTTGATTTTTAAAAACACTGACGTAACTCGTTTCAGTGTTAATAAAAGATCGTCATTCCAATATTTTAAAGATAGGGTACATATGAAGGTGCAAGCAGGATCAGTTACACATATTACGTACAAAAATGTTGTCCATTTCGGGGACCATCGCTTTAAATTTGTTCTATTAAAGGTTCGTGACGACGAGGATGTTGAAACGATGTTCTCGAATCATTAACGTTTTAGGTTTCAGCACATTGAATTATATATATAACATTTGCAGAATGTCAAGAAACTCAAATTTCTCAGGTCATCAATCCATCCATAGAGGCAACGCCAATCATAATTCCACTCGAAGATGTTGAAGAAGAAGACGGCGAAGAAGAAAACGAGGCACATGTTGATGATTTATATACTACTTTGTTTGAGGAAGGAAACAGTGTCAACAGAGATGAGCAATACATTCCAGTTGAGAATGTATTCATCCCACCGGTGCATATGACAACCATGCCGCTAAATGTAGAAGGAACATCATTTGAATGGCCACGGAATCCTCATATTCCAAATGGAGGCTGCCATTAAGCAATATCACATGAAACACTACGTGGATTATAAAGTGACAGATTCTGACAAGAAGAGATACTTAATTTGTTGCAAGAATGATTCCTGCAAGTTTCGTCTATCGGCGTCCTACCGAAAAAGAGGTGACTTGTGGGAGATAGGCATTATGAACCCACCCCATAGTTGTTCAACAACTATGTTTAACCAGGATCATCAACAACTAACCTCGCAGTTAATGTCTCAGAAATTAATGTCATTTGTAGACAAGGATCCTTCTATTAAGGTTAGTGTTTGCATGAGTAAAATTGTTTCTGAATACAATTTTACTCCGTCTTACCGAAAGACATGGATTGCAAGGAATAAGGCAATTGAGCAGGTGTACGGTAACTGGGAGAACTCATACAATGAACTTCCACATTTTCTGTTAGCACTTAAAAAATTTGTTCTGGGCATTGTGCTGGAAATAGAAACACTACCCATGTATACAGCTGACAGAACACTGGCTGAAGGGAAACACATCTTCCACCGGCTATTCTAGGCATTCCAACCATGCATCATAGGTTTTGCCTATTGCAAACCTATACTTCAAATTGATGGAACCTGGTTATATGGTAAGTACAAGGGTACACTGCTTATGGCAGTGGCACAAGATGGCAACAACAATATTTTTCCTGTTGCTTTTGCCCTTGTGGAAGGTGAAACCACTGAAGGTTGGGGTTTTTTCTGCGACCTGGTTATACGGTAAGTACAAGGGTACACTGCTTATGGCAGTGGCACAAGATGGCAACAACAATATTTTTCCTGTTGCTTTTGCCCTTGTGGAAGGTGAAACCACTAAAGGTTGGGGTTTTTTCTGTGAAACTTAAGAAGGCATGTTGCGCCACAACCAGACCTCTGTTTAATTTCAGATCAACATGCATCAATTGAAAGTGCATACAACAATGCGAAAAATGGTTGGTATATTCCCCTATCACTGCATGTTTATTGTATCCAACACATTGCACAAAATTTTATGAGAGAAATCAAGAACATGAACCTATGGAAGAAAAAAAATTAACATGGGTAACTATATTTCATAATATTCATTAAATTTTGTCAATAACATATATTATTTTTTTGTCCTTCGTTGATATTTTAATTATTCAGGATACGCTTTAAACCAACCAACATTTCATTACTATCGGTCAGAGATTGGCATGGCAAATGCTTTAAGGTGGATTGACAGTATTCCAGCCAAAAAATGGACAAGGGCATTTGAGAGTATTCCAGCTGAAAAATGGACGTTGGGGTCACATGACTACCAACCTTGTAGAGTCAATGAATGATGTCTTTAAAGGTAATTTGCCCATTATAGCATTCGTAAGGGCAACATATTATAGAATGGGATCTTTATTTGCTGAAAGGGATGCGCTGCATGTTCGAATGTGCGCCACAACACTTACGCTCTTTTGTCCGACGTTTATAGGGTTACAAATTATGAAGGAGATCAAATTTTCCATAATCCAAAAATGCGGAGGAACAAGAAAGGTCAAACGGGTCACAATTGAATCCGGTGTCCCAATGTGAGAACAAACAATCGTTAATGCCTTTATTAATTATCATGTATTAAATAATATTAATTAATGATATCCATTAATATAAATTTTGTATTAAATAATATTAATTATATTAGCTTCATTATCTCTTACTAACTAATATTAATTATTATTATCAACCTATATTAATATTATTAATATTAATTAATTTTAAAATTATATTAATATTAATATTTAAATTATATTAAAATTAATATTATCAATACTAATAATATAAATATTAATATTATTAATATATATTAATATTAATATTATTAATATATACTAATATTAATATTAATATTAATATATATTATTATTAATAATAAATTAAAATGTAAAATAAAATAAAAAATAGCATTGGACACTGCCGCCCATTAAAAAGGGGCACCTAATAAATTAAGTCACTGTGGCGGCACACTTGTGCCAAAAATCTCCATTTTTTTTAGTGTGGCATTATGGAATTTAATTTGAAAAAATGGCATTTTGAAAATAATGTTGTATAAACATGGCAGGAGAGTGCAAAATTCCCCATCTGCAGCTACAACTTGTTCTCAAGGGAGCCCACAAGAAATGCTAAAACCGACGCACCCTGTAACTTTCAGTGAAAACAACCTCTCTTCATTCCACATAACACAAAACCTCTAAAGAATGCAGATATTTCCATCTCCCCCATCCCACAACAACACATAAGGCTTACTCAACTCGTCCGACCTACACACCTCACAAATCTGCACCTATCTGCTGCGACGTACCATAAGCAACAACAAAAACCTGCTTACAAAGCTCTAACCGCAATACTCCAAACAACAAATTGCAGCAAAAATACGCAACAGACCACACCAAACCTACTACACTGCTACCCAAAACCTCTGCTACATCGAACAAACTGTTAGCAACAACTTTGCTTTCCATCAGCAACACTCCCTCTCCATCACCATAACATACCAGCCATATCCACTAATGAAACAATCAAAACATCTCCACAAAATCATTTTCGAAGCCGACGTCAAACAACACAACCTTCCGTAGCTTCTCCAAGCAACCTTTTTTTCTCATTTTCTCATAAACCATTCAACGCCACCCTTTCACGATCCACTACGACCGTCCTCCTTCCAAACACCTATCGTCTCTCCAAAACTCTTCCATCTCTTTTTCGCCGCCATAAACACAACTTTAAATCTTCACCCAAAACCTCCATTCATTCAACCTTCACGAATCCCATAGAACCATAAACAAATCTATCCCTAACCAAAACCAAAATCAAAAGAGAAGAGGAAATGAATTTGAACCAGTCAATACAAACTTAGAACAAGTTAAATCTGGAATGAAAAATCGCGAGAAGAAGGGATAAATCGAAATCATACGCGGAGATTGGAGGCATGTAGTCGTGTTTCTTTAAGTCGCCGATGATGATGATGCTACCAGTTTTTTTGAGTACTCTGTTTCAACTCCCACCTTAGTCGAACCGACATAACTGCCACCTCAGGAGAATCAACCATATAACTTTTATCACCTGCAGCAACCGTTCAACCGCAAGCCAAGGCGATGGATGTACCCGAGCGAGATTGAGAAACAGTGGAAAGTACCAACGCGGCGAAAGAGGTTAGATGGCTTTGTTTTTTTTTCTTCATTTGTTTTGATTTTGTTAGAACCTTATCCCTAGCTTCAATGAATATCCCATCCATTTTTTTCTTTGAAGATGATGTTGGATCCAAATTGTTTTCTTTCACATGGGCTTACACACACCTATTTACATATAGGCACACCCCCTATTATTTTCTTCAGTTTTAATTTTTTTTTTAAATGAATTGATTTATGTTAATTATTTGTGTTGTTTAGATTATAACATTTTATTAACTAATATTTGAAATTTTCTTTTTTTCTAATTATGTTTTAACCCTTTTTTTAAGATTGTGTATTAATCATTTAGATTATTTAGTTTATGTGTTTTCAATCATTTTATAAATAAAAAAACTTTAAAAAATATTTTTTCAATTAGATT